TCTACATTTGCTTAAAGGGATACATAACTCATGTGAGTGGCATTTTAGATAGCCTGTCTTTACTATCATAAAATAGTCATAAGACAAGGCTGGGCTGAAGAGAAAACCTTATAGAAAACAGGAAAGCTATGCTTTATTTATCAGCTTTATAGCTTCTACTGTGTTATCTGATGGAAATACAATATATAATAGTTTTTTCCAAAATTGTACAATTTTTAGAAATATCATTTGGAAAGTACCATAATTTCCAGAGTCAGGAAAACAGTACTTTTGCCTTTTCAGAACAGGAGTAGCCTAAACAGTGGGGAGCAGTGGCCACACCCCTGAATTTGAACTGAATGAATGCCGATCTCAAGTGTCTTTTTTGGCCTCAAGAGCTGAATTATCTGGGTGATTGTTTCGTCCCTCTTCTTTGGCAATAGACTTGAATGGATTGAGTGGCATTTACTTTAGAAATAATATGTGTAGCTATTAATATGTTTCTGAGTGCCTATTTGGAAGCCCAATTAATTAAGCACGGAAAGCAAAGCTTTTTTAGCTGGACTGGTCTCGTGGTGCTGAGCAGGTTCATCTGTCCTTTCTTTACCTGGGCTTGAACTGACTTCAGAGGATTGGGACACTCAGGCCCACTCAAGCCTCAGAGATTTATGTTGTGAGATTCTGAAGCAACTGAAAAAATGATGTTCCTTCCTCTCACATGATTACCTTTTCCCACGGCTAAGGCATCTGCTTCCTTGGCACCCCTCTCAAAGATGGCTAGATTTGACGGTTTTCATTTACATGTTGAATTTATCAACTCCTCCACCAATGGTGGCTGGTGTATAATCATATTTATATTGTTTATTTTAACAGTGTTGATTTTCTATTCCATGGTCACTTTCTACTGAGCACTGCTGTGGAAAACACTCTCCTGGTTTTCCCTCTACTCCTTTGGCTTCTCCTTCTCAGCCTTCTCAGCAGGCTCATTCTCCTCTGGTATCAGACAAATATTGTCAGAGTTCCTCGAAGCTTAGTCCTAGGCTTGCTTCTTTTCTCCTCCATGTTATTTCCTCAGACAACCATACCACAACCATGGCTTAATTGCTGCAATAGACAGATGATTCATGCACTTGTGCCTGTGCCCTCTGAGGTTTAGGTCCACAGGCTTAACTGCTTCCTTGACATCTCTAGTCATGTATCTCAGAGGCACTTCTAATTCAACATGTTCAAAGCCAAAGGTATGACCTTTTTCACTAAACTGGTCTTTTTCAAGGTTTTTTATCTCAACAAATAGCATCGTTATTTATCCAATTGTACAAGTCCAAAAACTCGGAACCCACTTGAAATTTGTTTTATCCCCACTCCCCCATGTCCTAAGTCCTATCAATTTCATGCACTAAATTTCTCTTCAGTTTGTTCACTTTTCTCCATGTCTATACTAACACCCCTGGTCTCTACTACATACTACAACTGCAGTGGTCTCCTTCATGCATTTTTAGGGGATATTATTTGGCAACTACAAAACTGGAGGGTGTAAGAACATAGCATTATTTATATTCTTTAGATCAACCTCAATTACACTCTGTGAATTCACTTTTGCCCACAGAGATGCATGATGCCTTATTTTACAAGGACCAAGTCATCTGGGAAACATTACAGGCATCAGGCACAAGGCCACTGCCATTGAGACCCCAGCTTCCATAGCCCACATGCTCCCATAGCAGCACAGGAACTTTTGGGGAGGCTGATCCAGCCTTTGTTTGTCCCCCCACATGATCCCCTCTGAGGCTTTGTTGCTCCCCAGGAGTTGCCAGGGAATAGGATGCATATCTCTTCCTCTTTCTCTTTGCCCTCAAAACCTTCCCCTCTCTCCTCACTTAGAAACCTAGATTATATAGCCTTTGAATTTAGTCTTTTACTAAAGTCAGGAAAATCCTCCCATAGTTTCTGCTTTTTGTCCTGCAGAAATTCCCTAAAGCAGAAGTTAAAAAGATATCTCTACCTGCTTGAAATGAAGAAAGAGGAAAAATAGAAATAGCATAAAATTGCCTACACTACTTTCTCCTCTGTTCCAATTCCAATCCATTCTCCATTTTGCAACCAGAGGAATCTTTTTGGCTCTCAGATTTGAACCCTGCCCTCATACTTAAAATTCTATCATAGCATCCCATCAACCAGATCCCTGCTCAGACCTGCTCCCCTTTATCCCCTGAGCTCTGGCCATGTTGGTCTGTTCTTAGATCATTGAGCAAGTTGTTTCTTCTACCTTTCCCCCTTTTACCATGTACCTTCCCCACTTAATACTCATCTTTCAGGGCTCTGTGCACATGCTGCTTCTTGTGTAGGTCAGGCCCCCTCTTGTGTAACTTCATACCCCACGGTCTTTCCCTAGTGATACTTGTCATGGTGCGTAGTTATACAATTATTTGTGTGGCTCTTTGACTGACTAACCCACTGGCATGTAAGCTAAATGAAAGCAGGACCATGTTTGCCTTTGCTCGTGACTTTCCCCAGGGTGAAAAAGAGAGAGAGAAAGGAAGAGAATGGAGGAGAGAAAAAGGGAAGAGAGAACTTTGTGTTTTTCACCTTCAGAAGATTTTTTTGTTTGTTCTTATTTTGTTTTTATATTAAATTTGCTAATCTCTTCCTTTCCTGAGTTGAAATTTCTTGCCACCTTCTATTATTATTAATAATAATTAATTACGATAATATTTAACATTTTTGAGCATTTACTTTGAGCCAAGCATTGTGCTATGCTCATTACATGCATATATAATGTAATTCTTTCAACAACCATAAGTGGATACTATTCTTATCTGCATCTTGCACACAAGGAAATTGAAGATTAGGAGGTTCAAAGTAACACAGCTTGTCAGTGGTACAGCAGGAAGCAAAGCCAGCTCTTTCAGACTCCAGAGTCCAAGCTCATAACCACTGAGATTTACCACCTCCCACAGACTTCCTTTTTCCTTTCCTTCTTTCTCTCTTTAGGGCTGCAATGCACTTTTCCGTGATGAGACAGGAAATTGTGGTGGGCTTAGCAGCGGGTTGATAGTAGAAGTTAAAAGAAGAAGAAGACTAGATAGCTGGATGGAAGGCAAGAACAGAAACAGAAAGGGAAGTAGGAATGGAGGGAGGAAGAAAAGAAGGTAGAAAAATATGGAAGGAGGGAGGGAGAAAAGGAGGCAGAAAAGCAATGGCAGCAACCAAGGTTGAAAGCTGTTCTATTGCTGATAGGGAAATTCTACTCTTCCCTTCAAGGTTTTGGTTCCATCACATCCTAAATATTTTCAGATGTTTCAGAGACACTCTGTAGAAACCAACCTCTTGACACATTTCAGTGTCACTCTCTCCATAAATTGTCATCTAATATGCCTATTCTCTTAAATTGCCCTTGCCTCTGAACTCTTCATGATTCATGATGGATGTCATAAAGCTTTGTACTTAAATTGTATTCTTTCTCCATGAAAACAGGGTGTACAGAACACTACAACAATAACAAATTCTGCTGTCATTCCTGAATCTGTCAAATGGACAGAACTAGCCTTAGAGATTATCCAGCCCAACTCCTTTCCCCAAAAAATAAAATAAACACACAAAACAGCAATGGCAAAATGACGGACCTTATGTAGTAATCCATTGTCGTGTATCTTCTTATTTCTTTATACATCATGACAAGAAATATTTGCTCTGACGAGATGGTTTGGTTAATTTTGGGGGTATGCTAAGTATTATTACTAACCCCATTTTGAGAAAATGCAGGCATAAGGAGGCCAAATGACTTGCCTAAGGTCTCACAGCTAGAACTTGAATTTTGTGCACAAGCTAGGGCTTGAATTCAACCAAAGCTCCTCCGAAGCCCAAGTTTACTTCCATTTTTATAATCACTTGGTTAAGTTACAGGAATGAAATTTTCTTTCTGGAGCAGGTTAGCACATGATTGAATTTCTCAAGAAGCTGGCATAGCTATTCGAAAAGCAACCTTTGGTTGTTTGAATCCCACTAATTGAGTATTGTGCTACTCTGAGCTTGGCTGGGCTGAGTTTGACTTTGGCATTTTATGTGAAGAAAGGATTCCCTAAACAAAATAATAATACATCAAGTAGAGGGTGATGAAAAACTATTTAAGTATTTCATTATGTTTTACAGAAACACATGTTTCTACAAATAAATGTTACGAATTTATTAAGGGTGTAACTGCAGAGGGTTTTGTAGTTGTCTTAATACAGTTAACATTTGCTGGCAAATATGACATATTCTCAAGCCAGTATAATCAGAGAATTTCCAAAGTATTTTCTAAGTATAAATCAATTTCATAGAACTTTCCCACTGAAAGGCAAAGGGCAGTGGCCCTACCAAATGTGTCCAAGTTGAGACTACTGAGGTGGGAGTGAGGGGTCAGCTATGCTTAGGATCTGGGAAAGACTTGACTGTTTCTCTATAAGCCCTGACTATTTGCAACTTGTGAAGTTTTTAAAGGCTTACTATCCAATTTATCATTAATCTACATTGGGCTTTCCCTGATTAGACCAGTTTTCACTGTACTATGTTTTGTTGATAAGGTAAGCTAAAGGTGGAATATTTCCAGTATTGTTCCAATATTGTCTTTGCCATCATACTCAGTACTTAGCATATTAAAGCAAAAGTTTTCATTCATGATTAATTTTCCTGGTTGTTTCAAGGTGGGCAGATTTATGCAAACCTACCCCCAAAGTCTGAGGAAAGGCCAAAGAAAGAGGCTGACAAATCCAGTTTCTCAGAGAGAAACATTTAATAGGGAATTACAGGCAGAAGCCATGTCTCTGGCGGTGGAGAGATAAGACAAGGTGGTAGATCCTTGTGCCATACCTCCCAGACCCAGGGCTTATATATCATAGGGAAGAAATGGGTAGGACAATTGAAGTCTGAAGTCATCCCCCTCAGGGAGAGGCAAGAGTGCTATGTCAATATGCCTAAGGGTAGGATTTATGGGCAGGATTGTTCTAATCTAAGGGCAGGATTTACAGTAAAGTAGAAATCTTAGAGGCATTCCCAGAATAGGGGTTAATCAGAAATCAGCATGGCAGATGAGCATCCAAGATGGAGTTACTTTAGCCTCCACACTGGCATAAAAGGAGGTTTTATTCTATTTAAATATTTTTTAACTATTGAAATGATGGCATTATATTCATTTGAATCATTGCACAATTATAGTGACTTAAAAATATGTTGTTGCCTTCTTAGGCTTTGGCAAAACAAGCTAAGATTGATTTTGAAGAACAAATTCTCAGAGAGAAGAAAGTTCATGAACAGATTGCTATGGAAAGAGCTCAAGCTCTTTATAAAAAGCATTATTCAATATGTGGAGAGATTTTGGATCAAATACTTGATTTGTCCACTAAAGTGGCAGACTATCGAATGTTGACAAATAAGTAAGTATTGTTTTTATATTATTAATATAGTAGAGACACCAAAGAGAGTGAAAAAGGATAATATTGTAAAGCAGATACTAGGTTGATAAGTAAAGAGAGACAAAAATGTTTCATGAAAATAAGACTAAGAAGGGGTTTCCAAGAGACCTTGATTTACCCATTGACTAGGGTTATTTAAGGTGTATTTATATATTTTTACATTTAAAAATTGTATCTAAATATTCTATAATTTGTAAATACAACTATGATAATTTATTTGAAACACTTGGAACTTTATATAAGACTTGAATTATTCAAAGATTATTTTATTACTTGTTAAATCTATTTCTTTTCATTATACCTTGTTTCTAAAAGGAATCGACATATTTGTAAGGAAATATTTAAAAATACCAAAAAAGAAAATGCCAAAATAATAACAAAGGAAAATCCAAATTAAAGCAGGGAGTTAAGAACAAAGGATAAATTGAAAGACAGTTATATAGGCAGCAGTAGATTTGTCAGTAACTGCAACTGAGCTGCAAATTTGATCTGAGCTTCCTAGAAGCCGAAGCAAAAAAAGAAACAATCTGTTGCATGCTTTTCATTTTATGTTCTAGTTCTCAACAGAATACAAAATTTTCTTAGCACTCAGTTAAGAAAAATAGTTTTCTAATGTGATCTCACCTAACATACACTGAGTAGTCCAATGGACCTAGAGGAGAATGTCTTACAGCAAGGTCTTTTCAGCGAATGTAACATCTGGATTCAAAGACTTATTTCTTGTGTTGTCCTTTGCTGAAAACTAAAGGTTTAAGACACTACAGTATATCTCAGGGAAAGTACCTCCACAAATAGAAGGATAAGGCAATCCAGTTAAATTTGTATACCTCTCCAGTTACTCAGGTTGAAATCTTCTTAAGAATTCACAATGAAAGGAATGAAAGCCAGATTACCTGCAGGGTCAGAAAAAAAGAGGGAAAGCATCCCATTACACCTATACCTGATAAAGGCTTTCTCTACATCTCTATCCCCTACAGCCATATGTCTGGCCCACTATCATATAAAAATCTAACAAATGAAATAACACAATGATGAGGACTTTTGAAGATAAAACTAATAAGGTACAAGATTGAGAAAAAAAGAAATAAATAACACTAAGAAGTAAAAGTAATTAAAGAGGAATGTTTAAAAATACTTTTCAGATTGATATTAATTCAAAAGTTCAGAAATTATAAGAACAAAATTATAAGGAAACTAAACTAACATTGAGATGACACAGATGTTGGAATTGTCTGATAAAGATTTTAAGGCACCTATGACAAAAATGTTTCAAAGAAAAATTACAAACATCCTTGGAAAAAATGAAGAAAATCTTATCAAAATTTAGTCACAGCAAAGAAATACAATATCAATGAGAATCAAGTGGAAATGTTAGAACTGAAAAATATAATCAAAATTAAAAGGTCAGTGGTTGAGCTCAGCAGCAGAATGAAGGGGACAGAGGAAAGGATCAGTGAACTAGAAAATAAAGCAATAGAAATTACCCTGTCTGGACAACATATAGAAAATAGACTGAAAAAAATTAACGGAGCTTCAAAGACCAGTCATTCATGTCATTGGAGTCCCAAAAGTAGAGAAGAAGGTGGGGCTGAAAAAGTACTCAGAGAAATAATGGCTGAAAATTTCCCAAATTTGCCAAGCAATATAATTCTATAAATTCAAAAATCTCAGCAAATCCTGAACAAGATAAGCCCAGAAAAATTCATGTAAAGATACATTATAATAAAATTTCTGAAAACTAATGAAAGAAAACAACATCTTGAAAGCACCCAGAGAACTACAGCTATAGCAGTTTACCTATAGGGGAAAAGTAATTGAGATGACAGAGGATTTCTCACCAGAAACCATGGAGAACAAAAGGAAGTGGCATAATATTTTTCAAATACTGAAAGAAATAAACTCTCAACACAGAATCCTACACAAGGTGAAAATGTCCTTCAGGACTGAAGAGGAAATCTAATGTTGTTAGATGATGATAATTAAGAAAATTTGTTGCCAACATACCTACCCTAAAAAGAATGGCTAAAGGGAAGTTCTCTAAACAGAAAGAAATGATTTTAAGAAAAGGAACCTCAGAGGAGGGGTGTGGAACAAGATGACTGAATAGAAACCTCCAGAGATCATCCCTCTGTGTGAACACCAAGTCAACGACTATCCATGCAAGCAAGCACTTTCAAAGAAAGGAACCTTGGAATATCAGAAAAGAAGAAAGAACATGATAAGCAAAAATATGAGTAAGTACAATAGGATTTCCTTCTTTTCTTGTGAAAGCAATTTG